CTGGCTAGACATTGTTTTGCCGTCCATGGGGGAGATGGGCCTTGGAACCAGTTTCCCCCACAGATACCATGGTCCTGCTATATTTCAGGGTTGGCAGATTTTACGCTTGTCAGATTTAATTATTTTAAGGTGTGTTCTTGGAATGAAAGCCTGCAGGAATTTGTTCTGAGTGTTAAAAAAAAATCTGGATGCCACTCAAAGCCCTTTATTAGGCAAAATCCTTTTTTTTTTGTTTTTTTTTTTTGTTCCCCTACCTCTAGCCCCTAGATTCCTCATTCTAACAGAACGGTTCTTGCTGAGAAATCAGAAATTTTTGCAGTTCAACTTCAGATTACTCAGAAAACTACCTGGATATTCCCAGTCATGCCAGGTGTATGTTTCTCTTATCTCAGAAGGACAGGCAAGATAAAATGTAAGCTGTTTTCATTGTATAGTGGCAGAATATATAGTAAATGTCTTAATGGGTTGGGTAGATAGGTTGATGGGTAGACAGATGGGTAGACAGATAGACGGACGGACGGACCGACCGACCGACCGACCGACCGACCGACCGACCGATAGATAGATAGATAGATAGATAGATAGATAGATAGATAGATAGATAGATAGATAGATAGATAGATAGATAGATAGATAGATAGATAGATAGATAGATAGATAGATAGATAGATAGATAGAGGAATCGGTAGGGAGGGAAGGGGACAGAGAAAATACTTTGTTGAAAATATCCAGTTTTCTTCCTGCCTGAAACTTGTTCATATCGATAATGACAAATACTGTTTTCAACCAGGCAAGCTGAATATACCTCTGCCAAAGCATGTGCGGCGAGAAAGAATCTTTCTTTCTTAGCTATAATTTTGTAATGTCATTTTCAATCAATAGACCTTTAGCAAAAAGATGAAACGGATGATGGAGGAGGCCCTTTAAATAATTTAGCTCTCGTTAATGGAGCGATTTCATTTTTTTGATAGAATGGCTTTATTGAAAAGTGGATATTTTTTTGCGCGTTCTCTCTTCCTCGTATGCAACTGATCCACCTTTTAAAAAAATATGTATATATTGTGCATGACTGTGTGTAGCCAAAGGGATGCTCAGGAGGCTACAACCCCTTGTTGGTTTAATCTATTAGAGATTGGATTTGTTTTTCTTCACTAAAGCCACCACTGGCTCTGCGCAATCTTGGTAGTTCAGTTCAGGAGTTTAGAGCGAGAAGAAAGATGCAGCTTTTTCAATCCAAAAGTTTTATCTCAAAGGCCAGCAACCCGGTATCATCCAAATACTTTGCACCACGACTCCCTTAAGCCACAGCAGTAAAGTATTATAAAGATTGTAATCCCAGGTACCATCCGTGATGTGGGGAAAGTGGAGATTTTGCAAAGTGGGACCCATACCGCCCCCCCAACACACATTGGGTGGGATTGTTTGGCAACATGCAAGCAAAGCAGGATGAGGAGCGGCCGTAGCTGAGCGGAAGAGGCCAGGATTTGCATTCAGAACAGCCCTGGGTTCAATTCTAGGCATCTTAAGTTGAAGGGACTAGGAGATGATGGTGAAAAAACACTCTGTCTGACTGTATTGGGCTAAACAGGCAAATCTGCTCCTTTTAAAAAACTGAGTGTGTTGTAGTAACAGCTGTTGCCTCTTCTGCTGGATAGCTCGGTGGTTGAGGTCTCTGGCTGTAGATCCAGAGGCTGGGAGTTTGATTCCCCCGCGGGGCCTCCTTGTCAAGGGCTGGACTCAGTGGTCCATAGGGTCTCTTCCAGCTCTGCAGTGCTAGGATGATGATGATCTCATAAGCAGGGATGGGTGAGCCTTTGTCTGGTGCTGCTGTTTTTTTTTTTAATGAAGTATTATTACCGAGACCTGTCAAAATCAACCAACTTCTGCATTAATGGTGAAAAAACCCTGACTTTTTTTTTGAAAAAATGGAACTTTTAAATAGAGAACTTACACTGTCATCCAACAAACATGTGGGCTTTGAGTGGTTAGCCCTTAAAACCTGGCATAGAACCCTTGTGTATTCAGGTATCTTTGTGGTGCTAAATTAAACGAAATCCTCCTTTTTTTTCACCAGGCAGTTTCATTCCTCTTTAACTGCTCCATGGCAAACAGATGGAGGAAGTACGTAGGCCTATTAAATTTGCTCAGGGTTGGTGGTAGAACGTTTTGCGTGGTTCCTTTTGAAGGAACCAAAATTCGCCACAATTAGCAAATTTCTTCGTGCATTTTACAAAAATTAGGGTCTTTACAAAACTTGAGTGGTTTGCTTTTTTCTCTCTCTCCAAGTTTTCATAGGGAAGAAAGTGAAAGAGACAGATTTGCCCGTACGGAGCCTCCTGACCTATTTATGGCAGCATAACTCCATTGGCATCAATTTCAGGTGGAGCAAATTTCCGCATGCCAAGAAGTCAGCATAGGCGTTGACTGTTGCGCAGCAGGTCACACAACTGGTGGTGCGCGGTGGCACGTGCCTACATCAAGTTCTTAATTTCAGCCCTTTGCTGCTGAAATTTACACTAACGGAGCAAACATTGGCAGATGGACCTTACCAGATTCGGGCCCATATATGTATAATGGAAGATCTACAGATTAGAAGATTAATTCCTTTGGCTTGTTCTGAACCCACTGCCAGTGAATCACCTAGGATGTCTCAGAGCAGTCATCCTCCCAGAAGCACAGCGACTCTGGAGTGATCTAAAGATTTGAGTTGATAGAGCAGATTGATCTCACAGGCGTTGAAAATGTTGCCTTCCGCCAGGCCTTTACCGAAGCGCGTTCGTTTCTGGGCCCTCACTTCCTCTCTAACAGCGAAGCCCCTGGAAGAGTTTTAAAAGAAGCAAGTGATTAATACAGAAAGCAAAGTAGCTTTTGATATGCTAGCACGTCTCTACGTCTGCTTATTCGGACACATCCTTGTTCAGCATATTTTTCCCCCTCGCGGTTATTAATTTGTGCCGTTTATCCTTCTGCATCTGGCGCCCGATACCTATGCAGTGTAAATGTGCAATTTCCCTATCGCTGGCATTTCCAGGGAGACAGTTCAAGAGAGGCATAAACAAGACCAAAGTGCCCTTTTATGTGTCGTGCGGAAAGGTGGGTGGGTGCCATATTATTTTATGATTTGAAATGACTGAGTGCTAAACTTTAAAAAGCAGCTGCTTTTTTTTGCCACCCACCTTTGCCTCTTCTCTCTTCAACCCACCCCACCAACCCCCCGGTTCGTTTCCACAAACTCTAAAGTATACTGGGACTTGGTCAAATTTCCCGTTAAAATAAAAATACGAATTTCATCTCCTTCGCAAATTCATTTATCATGCTTTTTAAAAAGGTGTTTTTCTGCTTTACCTGATGTCTAAATTGGATTGGCTCATTTATGCTGTTCTTTGCTGTATCCCCGTATGCTTTTCTTAAATGAATTAGTAATGACAGCATACTCCATCATGTCTCTCTACAGCCACTTTAAGGGGGAAGCCGGGTGATCTAAACCTTTTAACCTATTAAAGATGATTTTCCCCAATTGAATCAGACCCACCGCAGGTGTAATAACTAATCATTTAAACTACACCTCCTATTATGTTTTTTTAAGCCATTATGCATGTTGGATAGATGATAATTCATGTTTATTGCATTGTCCGATGGATCCGTTTTGCCTACACTCCTCTGATTAATGTATTTAAAGAAATAAGAGGTGCAATTTAAAAGGGAAAAAAAACACACACATACATACAACATTGATGGAATGCACCCAGGACTACATCAAAAGGGCCATTAAAATCCATCAGAACTCTGCTCCTTGACCTGAGATGCATATTTGAGAACCAGGTGATGACAGGCATTTGTTTGAGTTATGGCAAAGAGGTTCTGGGGTTGGGTTGCCCACCCCGACAAAGCTCATGGACCTCAACTGTAACTCCTCGAAACCTGTCGAATCCTATCTTTTCATGTTTCCTTCAGAGTTACTTCAGTTTGAAGGGTCGTCCTACCGTTGGATGGATGCCTTCGTGGCCCGCTCATAAGCTCTGGTTCATTCGAACACCGTTGCTAACCAACTGGATGCAACGGTGTTTGTACGCCACCGTGAAAGCATCTTGATTTCTTCTGATTTTGGAAGCTAAGCAGGGTCAGGCCTGGTTTCTACTAGGATGGGAGACCATGAAGGGACAATATACTACTCAATATAAGACAGCTTCCCAGGTGTTATTGAATTGCCATTCCCAGAAGCTTTCACCACCAGCTGCGCTGACTGTGGTTTCTGAGAGTTGCTAGTCCAAGAAGATTTGGTTTGCCCAAAGTTGGGAACCACTGCTTTAAGGGGATCAGGTGGCTAATTTGGGCCAGTGGAAACCAGCATTTGCAAGAATCAGTTGGCTTCTGGAAGCAACAGTTTCTCCATGAAGTAAGGATAGGAAAAAAGTCAGTGGAAACCAGCATTTGCAAGAATCAGTAGCTAGCAGTTGGCTTCTGGAAGCAACAGTTTATATATATAGTTTCTTTATTATTTTAATTATTAAGTTATCTGTTCCACGATGTTTCCTCGTGGTGTCTAGGGCTATCTCCATCTTATTTTTATAGCAATCCTCTGAGGTAGGCCAGGTTGGGTGATAATAATTAACGACTCAGGAGCCTCCTGTCTGTTGCATTTCGAGCCTCCAAAATGCTTCATGCAATATCGTAATAATGCCATGGTAATTTTTTTTCTGCATTGCAAATGTGGTGTGGTGTGTAGGAGAAGGATTAAAACAAAAAGAGCCATTTAGCAAGCAGCCCCACCTGTGGATTCTAGATTTTTGTATAACTCAGATTCTCAATGAAAACTCTGCATGATCTGTCATGTTTCATTTAGGATGAGCTGCTTTCGTTCTGGTAGACCTTGGTATTTTGATGGCGTTGTTCTCTCTGTGTGTATGCTGTTCAGAATCTGAATCCTGATTTGTCCCCAACTTTAAACCATTTCTTTCTTTCTTTTTTTCTCCTCTTACTCCCCACCGCCTGGTATGTAGATCGCGACAGCAGTGAAATTTCTACAAAACGCCAGAGTACGCCAAAGCCCACTCGCAAACAGAAGGTCGTTTCTCAAGAAGAAAGGTACCTGTTCAAGCCTTGACTCTTAACTTAAAACGATTCCCAGTTTCCCTCTCTCCCCCCCCGCCCCCAATTTTTCTGGTGTCTTCCTTGTCTTGACCTACCTCACCCACCCTTGCTCTCCTCTTGAACTCTGAATGCATCTTCAATTCTACAAACCCATCAAGTAGAACTTTGGTCTAGATGGGTGGGATAAAAATCTAATAAATAAATAAAGTCTTAAGGAAAGGCTTCATGTATTCTTCAGCCACAGAGGGGCATCCGTTGTTGGTGAACTGGGGCAGGGGCCTGTGTAACTGGCGTTGCAGTCTAAACAGACACCCTCTTGGCGGAGAAAGAGCCGTTAATTGGTCTGGGGATTCTGTTTTAGCCAGTTCTTAACTTCTTTACGGTATTTGACTCAAGTGGACGGAGCTGCAGGTGAAACAGGCAAGAGCTTCAGAAGAGATCCCGGCCATGCAGTGAAGGGCACAGGCCTGCACTCAGCGAAAACGAGGTCGGGTTAAGGTTAAATTTGGGGTCAGCCTGCCTTTTAGAGTCTAAAAGGGCAAGCAATTGACTGCTGAGCCCTTTCAGAATAATAATAATAATAAAAGCTGCGTCTCAATAAATCCAAGCATCGTTTTCAGCAGATGGAAGCTGCTCTGTTCATGGCCCTGCAACATTTCTGTTGCATTTATCTTGAAAGAATGAACTCTTTTTTAAAGTGAGGATCTAAAGTTTTAAAGCTGTCGACTCAAAAACAGAGAGAGAGATTTTTCTAAATCTGGGTTTTGTGTGAATTCCAACCTCAAGGTTGTCTCCGCCCCTTCCCCCCCTAAACCCACATTTTTATGCTTAAAAAGGAAAGCAAGACTGTAGCCCATATGTTCATAAAAATAAGCATTCAGACCTCTCAGCTGTATTTTGGAAATCAAAGCAAGAAAGAAGAGAATATCAGGTTTATTATTTTTTTCTTGTTCACTTGGCACAAATTTCACCCCCATTTCTATAGCTTTGGGACCCAGGGTTACTTGATCCTTACCAAATCCTTTATCTGCTCTACTCCCCAGTTGCTTTCTGTTCAGAAGAAGTCCAGGTTGGCTGGTCTTAGCCACATAACCCTTCACTGAGCACAGTTGAGTACAAAAGGGGGGGGGTCATGCTTAAGGGCCGTGTCTTATTTAAGATGCTAAACCCATGAAACCATAATGCTTCAGAGAGAGACGGAAGGCTCATAAGATTGTTTTTTTCTCTCTCTTTGCCACACAGAAAACCAGCATATCAGAGAGATGTTTTTCCCCCGGTGGTTTTGTCCCTGGTACCGTTGCGTTTTAGGTGTAGACATGATGCGGAGTCCCTCTCTGCCCCAAAGGGGTCTCTAAATAAACCACAGCCTCTGTTTTCCTTGATTCTGCTAGACCGCTGCCTGTTTCACCTTGCAGGAATGCCTTGCTTAGCATTTTGTTTGCCGCTAAAGGTGTCATGCTTCAGGTTTCCAACTCCCTTCCCTTGTGATCTCAAAGAGCAGGGAGGAAGGGCGCCTCTGGTCTGCGTGGCGCTTGCAGATAAAATGCAGGTCCGAGGAATCATAAATTGTAAGATTTGAAAGGGACGGAAGTGGTCTTAGAGTCCAAGCCCCCCTTCAACTGCGTATCTGCAATGCAGAATGCAATTATGGCTATCAACCGCCCAGAATAGACCTTGGGTCTACATGAGTGGGATAGAAATCTAATAAATAAATAAATCCTGATACAGGAGCGTCCAGACTCAGTTTGAGGACCTACCCTGTCCAGAAGGATTGTGCCGACAGCCAAACAGTGGTTATCGGTCTGTAGTGTCACCTTCCTGCAGTGTCCCTGCTGTTTCTCATCCTGCCCTCTGGAACAGCAAAGAACAGAATATTGCAGAATCTCCTGCATAAAATCCATTCAGATATCTGAAGATTTTTATCAAGTCTCGCCCGTATTGTTTCTCCTCTGTGCTAAACATGTGTTGCTCCTTCAACCATTCCTCATAGGACTTGCTTCTCCTTGTCTGGTCTGCTGTTTTCTGAACATAGACCTGTCTTCTAAAAATGTGGGGTCCCATATAGGACAAAAAGCATTTTTTTTTGCTGCCTGATCAACATAAACTCTGGGGGCCTTGTGATCTGGACGCGATGATTCCGTTCATTTAGCCTATAATCGCATGGAATGACCATTAAAGGTGTTTATAAACTTCCCCTCTCAGACAGTACAAACACAAGGATGTGTTTGTTTGTTTACATTTTTATCCTGCTCAGCTAGTAACAGGACCAGCTATTCTGGGAGGCAAACAGAACAAGTTCAGAATAACATAATAGTAACAATACTGTACAAGCAACAATAAAAATTCAGAAAAGGCATCATGATAAGCATGAGTCCTAAAAGTACAATAACATTAAAGGACAATCAAATCAACAACAACAACAACAACAACTACAGGCAGCAGTAAAGACCTGCTCTAAGACAGTTGTACACAACAACAACAACAACAACAACAGGCAGCAGTAAAGCCCTGCTCTAAGACAGTTGTATTTTAATGGGTAACAGACAGGCTGTGTTTGCCTCAAGGCTTCATCTAGACATACAGAAGTCTCAATTTTACAGTACTTCCTGTTGCTTTCAGACTGTTGAAATATTTTGTTCTTTCTCTCCGAAGTATAAAGAAATCTGTGGATTTTGGTAAAATCTTGAAAACTAAGCAGGAATAAGATTCTCCGCTGTTTACACTGGTGGGTGGATACAGTGACTGTCCCAGCATGGAGAGGATGAGATTATAGTACCTGTCCTTCTATAGATATGAAAGGCAAGGAGGTTCTATAGAAGAAAGAGGTGGAGATACTAATTCAACATTAAAATGTTTCAGAGGCAGAGTTAAAACGGTCAAAGCCCCTGGGGCTGGATGGAGGAACCTGCCTCCTTCAACATCTCTCACTTCTGAGTTTTTAAATCTCGCGTCCTTACTAACCAGAATACAAAGAAATCAGCAAATCAGAGCTGAACCGATCCATGTGTCTCATCAGTTCCTATTGGTTTCACTGTGTCTAAGCGCACCGAACCGTTATTGGGTTGTCGCTGGATTGTGTGGCTAAGCGACAGGCTGCGTCTCACGTCCATCATCTTGTATTGCAGAACTGGTCTCTTATTGTATTTAAAGCGCTGAAATAATCGAGCTTCCAGATACAAAGGGGTGCTGATGATCGGGGTGTGCCTCCTTTACTCTTCCGAGCTTGTCAAAACTGGCGTCTAAAACTTGTCCCTTCTGGGCTGCTCTCGTGCGGTACAGGTTTTTCTCTCTTTCTCGCTCTGTCATATATATACATATATATTCCCCCTTGAAATATGCAGACCTACAGGGAGTAATTAATCATAAAAGCTTTGGGATTTCAACTCTATCATCAAAGCAGCGAAGCAAGGGAAAGCTGAGCCTAAAAGCTGCGCTGATTACCCGGGGTAACCCGAGCCGAAATCTATAGTTGCCGAGGATCCGTTCGCACCTCTCCTGCACCCACCAAAGTACCCCAGGATGATGGCACTGTATTATAACCGTTTTTACGTCTTAGTAAAAGAACCATTTATGCCTTATGTCTCTTCTTTCTTCTCTTTCCCCCCCCCCCCCCATTCTTCTCTTCTCTTTCAACACCGACGGTTAGGATTTCGTTTGGCGGAGGTATTTAGAAGCAATTTAGAGACGAACATCTTGGGCGTTTGCACCTCGCTTCCCCTACCACCCGCTTTGCGAAGCACTTTTTTTTTTGTTGGTATCTGGAGCGCCGTCGAATCTGTTTTAATTTTAATAAATCCCTCGCTGGAAAAAGCAAAAGATTAAGGGTAGGTGTAGGAGACGCCGGGGGTGGGTGGTCTTGGCAGGGGACGCTGGCGGAAGAGGTCTGAAAAGAGAGACAGTGACCCGATTAAAGCTTCTAATGAATTATGCGGCTAATGATTACCAAAGGGATGGGAAGACGAGGCACCCCCAACCCTGTTGGGGACGCCACCCTCCTTTCTGTCGAGCGGCCCTTTGCATTCATCGTTTACACGGCGTGAGGTCTTCCTTTCCGTTTTCTTTCATGCCAAACCTGAGCAGAAGAAGTCTCGTTAGCGTGGAAGGGAAGTGTCCGACCTAAAACGAAAGTAATCGTTTGTTGCTGTTTAGGGATAGGTCTTCCTTTCCGTTTTCTTTCATGCCATACTTTAGCAGAAGTCTCGTTAGCGTGGAAGGGAAGTGGCCCACCTAAAACGAAAGTAATCGTTTGTTTATTTATATATTTTAATGTTTTTAAAAAACGGTGCTCAGGGGAACACGTATTTATTTATTTATTTATTTATTTTAATGTTTTTAAAAAAGGTGCATAATGCTGGGTGCATTATGTATGTTAATGAAAAGGGGACAGATTCCCAAAAACCAGCGTTGCAGCTCTCCAGGAGCTGAACCTGCAAAGGTCTCTGTGCCCAAAGGCAGTGGGGGCTTCCGAGTTTATTGGGGTCCAGGTCTGTTTTGTTTTGTTCTCTTAAGCTTCTTAGACTTGCTGAGTCCAGAGGTTTTCAGAGCTGTGAAACTGAAGGGGGCGAGGGAGGCTCCTGGCCTGCAGCTTCATGCCATGAAGTTCTTATGTCAAAAGAAGGGTCTCACCTGCTTTGAGGAAGACCCTGCCCTAAAATACAACTCTCTTGAGAGTAAGATTTCTCATCAGAGATCAAGGACGGTGTTCGTTCAGGCTTAGGGCCTTAAAAAAAATCTCTTTCCAGAAAAGGCCAGTCCCATTTTATGTCTTTGGAGGATGGGTGTGCTAAACTGAACTAAAACTGTTATTTTAACATAGAAACCAAGGTCTCCTGGGTGCAGGCCAGTGTGACCAGAGTGGGCACAAATGATGTGAAATCAACTTTGTTTTTCCTTCCTGGCCATTTACGGGAAGGATTTTAGCCTGATCCTCATACTCAGGGACCAGGGAGGGAGAAATGTCCTAGGTTTGCAAAAGGTTTTGAAAATCTAGGCAG